TGGAGATGTGGGAGGTGGGGAGAGTGGGGTGTGGTGGGAGATGGTGGGACATGGTGGGACATGGGGACACTGGGATGTGGTGGGGTGTGGTGGGACATGGAGATGTGGTGGGACATGGGGACACTGGGACGTGGTGGGACATGGTGGGACATTGGGACACTGGGGTGTGGTGGGAGGTGGTGGGAGATGGGGACACTGGGACGTGGTGGGGTCCATGGAGATGTGGTGGGACATGGAGACATTGGGACATGGTGGGACATGGTGGGACGTGGGGACACTGGGGTGTGGTGGGACATGGAGTTGTGGTGGGACATGGGGACGCTGGGACGTGGACATGAGGAGATGGGGACATGGTGGGATGTGGTGGGACATGGTGGGACACTGGGGACACTGGAACGTGGTGGGAGATGGTGGGATGTGGTGGGACATGGAGATGTGGTGGGACATGGAGACATTGGGACATGGTGGGACACTGGGGACACTGGGACGTGGTGGGACATGGTGGGACAGAAGGACACAGGGTGGAGGAACACGGGACATGAAGATGATGGAGGGGCACCTATCCCTGTGGGTGACATCCTGGTGTCCCCATGGTGACATCCCGGTGTCTCTGGTGTCCCCGTGGTGACATTGCGGTGTCCCTGGTGTCCCCGCGGTGTCCCCAATGTCCCCATGGTGACATGGCGGTGTCCCCAATGTCCCCGTGGTGACATCCTGGTGTCCCCATGGTGACATGGCGGTGTCCCCGGTGTCCCCGTGGTGACATCCTGGTGTCCCCATGGTGACATGGCGGTGTCCCCGGTGTCCCCGTGGTGACATCCTGGTGTCCCCATGGTGACATGGCGGTGTCCCCGGTGTCCCCGTGGTGACATCCTGGTGTCCCCATGGTGACATGGCGGTGTCCCCGGTGTCCCCGTGGTGACATCCTGGTGTCCCCATGGTGACATGGCGGTGTCCCCGGTGTCCCCGTGGTGACATCCTGGTGTCCCCGGTGTCCCCAGGAGTCCCCGAAGCTGCCGAGCGGTGCCTACGAGGGCGGGGCGCTCATCAAGGCCTCGGGGAAGCTGCTGCTGCTGCAGAAGATGCTGCGCAAGCTGAAGGAGCAGAACCACCGGGTGCTCATCTTCTCCCAGGTGGGACCCCAGAAACACCTCAAAACACCCCAAAAACACCTCAAAACACCTCGAAACACCCAGAAACACCTCAAAACACCCCAAAAACACCTCGAAACACCCAAAAACACTTCGAAACACCCAAAAACACCTCGAAACATCTCAAAACACCTCAAAACACCCCCAGAACCACCGGGTGCTCATCTTCTCCCAGGTGGGACCCCAGAAACACCTCAAAACACCCCAGAAACACCTCAAAACACCCCAAAAACACCTCAAAACACCTTGAAACACCCAAAAACACCTCAAAACACCCCAAAACCACCCCATGCTCATCTCCCAGTCCATCCCAGTCCCCTCCCAGTCTCCCTCAGTCCCTCCCAATCCATTCCCAGTCCCCCCCAGTCCATCCCAGTCCCCCCCAGTCCATCCCAGTCCATTCCCAGTCCATCCCAGTCCATCCCAGTCCATCCCAGTTCCTCCCAGTCCCCCCCAATCCCTCCCAGTCCATCCCAGTCCATCCCAGTCCATCCCAGTCCATCCCAGTCCCATCCCAGTCCGTCCCAGTCTGTCCCAGTCCCTCCCAGTCCCCCCCAGTCCATCCCAGCCCCATCCCAGTCCATGCCAGTCCCCCCAATCCCTCCCAGTCCATCCCAGTCCATCCCAGTCCATCCCAGTCCATCCCAGTCCCATCCCAGTCCGTCCCAGTCCATCCCAGTCCCATCCCAGTCCATCCCAGTCCATCCCAGTCCATCCCAGTCCCATCCCAGTCCGTCCCAGTCCATCCCAGTCCGTCCCAGTCCGTCCCAGTCCGTCCCAGTCTGACCAGTTTGCGCAGATGACGAAGATGCTGGACCTGCTGGAGGATTTCCTGGACTTCGAGGGTTACAAGTACGAGAGGATCGACGGCGGCATCACCGGGGCCCTGCGGCAGGAGGCCATCGACCGCTTCAACGGTACCTGACGTACAGCCGGACGTACAGCCGGACGTACAGCCGGGGGATGTGGGGACACCTGGGGACACCTGAGATACAGCTGGGGGACACGGGGGGACATGGGGACACCTGAGATACAGCCGGACATACAGCCGGGGGGACACCTGGGGACACCTGAGATACAGCCGGAGATACAGCCGGGGGGACACGGGGACACACCTGGGGACACCTGAGATACAGCCGGAGATACAGCTGGACATACAGCCAGGAACACGGGGGGACATGGGGACACCTGAGATACAGCCGGACATACAGCCGGACATACAGCCGGACATACAGCCTGACATACAGGCGAAGAGACAGCCAGGGGGACATGGGGACACCTGAGATACAGCCAGAGATACACCCGGAGATACACCTGGGGGACATGGGGACACCTGGAGACACCTGGGGGCACCTGAGATACACCCGGAGGGACCTGGGGACACTTTGAGGACAGCTGGGGACACCTGGGGGGACAGGGAGGGGACGGGGACAGGTGTCCTGGGGTATTCCGGTGTTTTCGGGTGTTTTTGGGGTATTTTTGGGTGTTTTGGGGTGGTTTTTTATGTTTTTTGGGGTACTTTGGGGTGTTTTGGGGTGTTTTTGGGTGTTTTGGGGTGTTTTGGGGTGTTTTGGGGTGTTTTGGGGTGGTTTGGGGTGTTTTTGGGGTGTTTTGGGGTGTTTTCGGGGTCGCTGACGCCGGGGGGGCAGCGCCGGGGGCGCAGCAGTTCTGTTTCCTGTTGTCGACGCGGGCCGGGGGCCTCGGCATCAACCTGGCAACAGCCGACACGGTGGTGATCTTCGACTCGGACTGGAACCCCCACAACGACATCCAGGTGGG